TATGTACCATTGTGATTTAAAGCCAGTGAGTTTGAATCCTGCTCACCATGGTTGTCCTCAGTCTCTAACACATTACCCAGCATGCAGTAGGCTTTTAAACATTTTGGAGTGAATGAATTCTCTTTTTACACTGCATTTTTTTTTCTTTTTAAAGGGGCGCCTCCTTAAATTTGGCGCCTGAGATGCCTCTCATCTCATTGGGTTTGTTTTTTTTTTTTAGAAATTTTATTGGGAACAGTGTGTTCCTCCAGGACCCATCAGCTCCAAGTCAAGTAGTTGTTTTCAATCTAGTTATGGAGGGCGTAGCTCCCCGACCCATGTGGAAATCGAACCGGCAACCTTGGTGTTACAAGCCTGCGCTCTAACCTCCTGAGCTAACTGGCCGCCCTACACTGCATTCTTAGTGATACACATATTTTATGCGTCCATTCATTGTGCAGGCACCGAAATATTCAACAATGAAAGCTTTCTGTTCGCTGGCCTCAAAAGTTGCACTCAAGTACTCACTGTTTGTTTTCCAGTGTCTATCAGGCACTGAAAATGCAATGGAGAGCAAAAATAGACATGGTTCCACACTGCTAGAGCTTATTGAGGGAAACAATAGGATAACCAAATACTCACAAAAACGTGTATTACAACAACTGAAGTAAGTTCAAGAAAGGAATGCGATAGAGTGCTCTAAGGAGGGGTCATAGAAAAGCTTCCTTGATAAAGTGATAGCTGAACTAAGAATATTAAGAGGTGTTAACTAGACTACTAGGGAGAGAAAGCTCACTCCCAGCAGAAGGAGCTGCATGTGCCAAGGTCCTGTGACAGGACACAAAAGGGACTGAAAGGCCAGTCTATTCGGACCCCAGAGGGGTACAAGATGAGTCCGGAGAAAGAGGCAGGAGCAGATAGATCATGCTTAAGTGGTTGATGGGCTTTAGGCAAACGGATGTCAAAATCATATTTGCATTTGAAAAGACCATTCCAGTTGCAGGGTGGGGAAGAGATGAAAGTGGAGCAGGACCCTCCGGGAAATCCAGTGAGGCTAAGAACTTTTCATTTTGTTCCATAGAGGGTAGTGAGTCATTGATGGGTCTTAGGTAGGGGGACAGGTCGCCTCTCATCCTCACCTCCTGAATTCACTAGTCATACAGGTCAACTGAAAACACTTTCTGCAGGTGGACACATTTTGGTCACCCCACAAAGTCTTCCACACTCCCTCCCAGGTCCCCCTTTAACTTGGCCTTTCACCTCTCACCACTCAGTAAGCCTGCATCTGGCCATCTCATGGGGCACACAAGCTCTGCAACCCTTCTTCCTCATTCCGTGTGCACAAATGGTCCCTTTCTGAGCCAGAACAGCTGAAACATGGCTGATAGCATAGCAGTACTGTTTCTAGAGAAAGTGTTAAGTGTCTAAGTTAAATGCCAAATCCTTGAAAGCATCCTGGACTGTCCTTCAAAATCTCTACTGAAATCCCCATGTCTCCTCTAATTAAATGTGATATACAGATGATGTATTATAGAATTGTACAATTGAAACATAATTTTATTAATGTCACACCAGTAAATTTAATACATTTTTTAAAAACTAAAAACAATAATTATAACCACTTAAAAATACACTTTTTTCCTACAAAATCAACATTCAAAATCAATTTTGCAAACCAAATTTTATTCAATTCCTATGTTGTTTTAAATGACTAATATTACAACAGATATGTCCTCTCGAATCATGCCACTGCAGAGCTCTTATTGTACACAAGAGACAGTAGGAAAGAGAAAAGTAAGCAAGATATGGTCCTTTCTTTAAAGATCTTCCAAAGTTGGAAAGAAGATAGACAAATATATTAGAAACTGAAGTATACGCATGAAAGGAATGAAACACTATTTCAAGAAATCTGGCGGTATTCGACGGAAAGAGAGAAATGAGGCACTAACTTTAGAAAGCAATGGCATCCAGGGAAGTGTTTTTAAGGAGAAGGATGTAAGCATGCCTCAAGACTAAAAAGAAGTCAGAGGAGGTAGGGATTGGAGTAGGACAGAAATGAGAGGAATGGTGAAGCAAATTCCTTGAAAGCAAATTCATTCATTCCTCCCACAAGTTCTTATTCATTATCACCTGTGTTTAAGGCATAAGGTACACAGTGCCAGGGACACATCCACCCTTCTAGAGCTTGCGATTGGCAAGGCAGCTGACACTGAGCAAGTGCAATGCGTGAAAAGGAGAACCCAGCAAGGGAGCTAGAATGTCCAAGGAGGTCAGGGAAAGCTTCCATGAGGAAATGACATTGAGGCTGAAACTTAAAGAATAAGTAAAAGTTGTCAGGGGGAAGAATTAGGTGAAGAATCGACCCCAGGCAAAGCAAACAGCAGTGAGAGAGAATTTGAAACACTGAAGAATGACAGAAGCTTGTGTCAGCCATGAGTGACTGATGTAAGGGCCAAATTGAAGAAGGCCTTGAATGCCATTTGAAGGGTTTGGGGCTTTATGCTTGGGGTTTGAAGCATGGGTGTGATATGACACCAGCTATCACCTGTCATCTAAATAGCCTCAGTGGCCTCCTCAATCTTATACCTACCCCAGCTCTGCCCTCTGCCAAACCATTCTCATTCTGCAGCCAGAGTAATCATTCCAAAAGTTACATCTGATCTTGTCACCCTCCCTCCCTTTCTTAAAACCTTTCAATGGCTTCCCACTGCTTTTTTAAAATTGAGGTGAATTGAAATGGGGATGCCTGAGAGAAAGATTGTTTCAATGCAAAACTATAGCACAGCCTTGTGGATATTAAATTCTAGTCCTGTTCGTTGTCTTTTAAGTTTTTGTTATCTACCTATAAACTGGGCTGGATCCTGAAGTCTTCTAGTTTCCTCCACTATCTGTCTACAACTCTCCAAATTAACATTTCCAATTTTTCTCCCACCCTTCTGACTTGGAATCACTAAAAACTAAAACTGCTCTTTTTCCAAAGTCCTTCAAACTGAAGCTGGACAACTTGATAACTGGACAACTTCAGAGAAATCACCATCATAATTCATGTATGGACAAACTTTGTGCCTTTCTGAGTGGGCCCCTCAGAAAGTTTACCAGAAAACCTGATGACATCACCAGAGACATTCACACTAAAAACCAGGAGAATTTGTCAAATTGTCACTGCCTGTCCTCACTCCATCTGTAGAGGCTTCAAGTCTAACATCTAGAAATCTTCTCGACTGCCCTCTGGACTCAAAAACTGAATTTATAGTTAGTTCTAACCATTAGCTTTTGTTTCCATAGAAATGCCTCTTTTTAAATACTTGATTGCTCACATCAAACAGAAGCCTAACTTTGGTGGGAGCCTACTTGCAACACTGGCTCCTGAAATGAGATACAGCTGTTTTATTGGACTGGCTTATGCCCAAGTCTGAAAGACTGGATCCGTGGGTTATTGGACAGCCTACCAACTCAGTTTCTGG